AAACATTGTCATGAGGACTTACAGTTCTTTTCAAAATTCGATGTAACGTTAATAACAAGGGCAGATTTAGAAATCTTACCCAACTGCAAAAGTGGAAGAAATACCTTTTGCTACTCTTCTGCTCCTGCCCTGGGACTAAGAGGAGCTAGCCAAAACAATTGCTGTGGAGAAGCAATCAGAATTAGAGAAAGGCAAGACTTGGCAGTCTGAGGTAGAAATTGAGAACAAAGTCAATGGTATTTGCTTCAGTTGGGTCATATTTGTTTTCAAGATTTTCACAGTCTGCTTGTTGCCATGAGAATGCTTGGGTTTTCCTTTTTAATTCATTTGTATATTAGCTATGTTACTTCACTGTTCATAATGACATTAGTTTGTATTGGAAAAGCTTTCTGAATTTTTATCTTCTGATGGTTTTTATTCACAATCTGTTACTACAGAAGGTCAGTCTTGAAGTCAACAATATTGATTTATAGCTCACTTTCACTAAGAGCACTAATCTGTATATTGAAGATGTCTGAAATACAGAGATCAGAAATCTGGCAAACGCTTTGCTGTAATGACTAACAGTATATAAACAGTATAAAGTTTTGAATAAAGTGCAGTCAGAAGTTTTAGCCAAAGTTAAATGTTGCAAGTGTAGTGAATCTGCTATCCTGAAGAAAATAAAGTCTGTTTTGTATAAGAAAAACAGGTGTACAAGATAATAGTTATAGTGGATGCGTCCTCACAGACAAAAAAGCTTTATGTGGATGAACCATTGCTATTCTTTATACCTTGTAATCTTAAGCATTAATATTTTATGTGAGAAGTCTATCTGTGAAGGTACCTTACTGTAGCTAAGTGTCTGTATTTTACGCAGAATTTTCAAAATCTTGGGATTGTTTAGTCTCTTAACCTAGAACGGTGTCAGGCAGCAGAAACTGGCCCTTAAAACGTTTCAAGAGGAAATTCTCTTGAATATTCCGTTGCAAACTTGATTTTTTTTTTTTTTCCCAGGAGTTGTATAGGTAGCTTTTTAACCTCAGTATTTTACAGGTCAAATAAGGTGAATTAGTGCCCTTCAGGCCACAAATGTCTCTTTAAAAGTCATTAAAGTGAGAATGTTTTGAAAAGCTACCAAACAGGAAACACTGTTGTTTCAAGGATCTGTTTGAAGTTTTGGTATCTAAAATTAGCCTTTTTTTTCCTATATTTGAAGAAGTAATTCTTGCTTATATTATTGCAGAAAGGCAACCAGGATTTTATTACCTGCAATGTATTGATACGCTTTGAGTTAACAGTTTTGGGGGTTCATTGTCATGAAAAGGAATGTTTGGAGGGAAAGCACTTAAAAATGTACCACTGTTGTTCAGTAATCTGATAGTTTAATGCTAATAACTTCTTCTGGTGTTGTTTCTTGTCGTAGCTCTGTCTCCTGCAGGAGTTCATACCAGCGCTATCGGGAAGTCCCGTGCTGCCCTGGGGCTGTTGATGTCCTCAGCTGTTGTAGGAGAAGCACTAGACCTGGAACCCAGTTTGTTACTGGTAAGAAATAACTTTATTTATTTATTTATTGATACTATAGTTTGCATGCTTTCTCTAAAAAAAAAATTCAGTAAAAATCTCTTTACTGCTTGTTACTCTGAGTACTATAGCAAAATGAGCATCTCTGGTCTTTTTTTTTTTTTTTTTTTTTTCCCCTCTTATTTCTAACTTTACAGTTTCTAAATTTCTGATTCTAATTTCTAATTGCCCTGCTTTCAAAATGTGGATGCTGACAGTTTTCACTTGGCTTTCATTTTCAGACCTGGTTTCCTCTTGAAAGTCTTCACGCGCTGTCAGAGCTAAGGAAGGTTAATAAGTGGATTTTTCTAAGAAACCTTCAGAAATCCTGTCTCTTGGTTGCACTTTTGTAGTGTCCTGCTTCTGCACACTGTAGCTGGCCCTGTAACGTCAGGCAGATGGTTTGACAGGTCAAAGGCCAAAGCCAAGTCTCTGGTTTGATGTTCTGGAGCAGAGGGTGAAATGTTTAATGAAAGCTCCCCGTTGTTTTAGGCTGTACTTACTGGAGTTAGATTCTGCTTGTGGTTCGTATTCGGGTGGCAGGACCAAACCTTTGATGATAGGAATGACTAGGAGCGTGTAGTGTTTTGCATGTCCTTATTCATTTTCCTGAAACTGCCCTTCTTCTATTTCCCAATTGCATTCAGATCTATGTATTTTCGTGGTGGGAGCAATTGTAAACTGGTGATGTCTTAAATGTGTTGTATTCCCTGGCTAAATCGAGCCTGATCCGACGGGAAGCTGAAAGCCTGTGCTTCGAGTGAGCCATGTCCGTGCCGGCGTTACAGCTGCTGAAGGTGTAGTGCGTGTCCTGCTGCTGCTCCTTCAACTTGGGCTTTCTGGGCTGTAACTGCTGTGGAGGTGCTGTTTTAGTGCTGTTGGTGATGGGGTAGTGTTGGCTTGAAAGTGGAGAAATTTTAGTCAATCCTCATCAGACAGATGTTCATTGAATACTTGTAGGGGCTTGGGGTTTCGTTTGCCCTACAGTCATAGAGAATTGAGTGGGCATCTCCAGTTTGATAAGGAGAAATACTAGTTATATTTTTATTAAGTTCACTGAAAATCACTTGTCTCCCAAATCCCTGCCTTTTCTGTCATTCTATAGTATTTCTCAAACCGAACGACAAAACTTTTTATTTTCTTCCTGTGACTCCCAACCCGCAAGGGTGAAGGTGCCCTGTTGGGCTCCAGTTAAACATTCCCATCCCCGGTGAGAAGGGAAAGGTGGCACCCTGTTGTTCTCATGCCACTGCGAGTTGTGAGTAACCTCTTTGGCCCAAGGATCTGCTTTGGTCTGTTTACAAACATCTGCCTGTTCCTCTTTGGATCCAGAGTTGTGGTTGGAACAACCAGCTTAAACAAGGAAGGATCAGTTTCAGGAATCAGAATAGGAGAGAGAAGTTTCTTTTTTGGCAACTGTTCATTTTCGTATTCGCATCTCCTTGAGCCAACGTATGGATACAGTTGGGGGGTATCTAATATCAAGAAATTAAGACTCTTCTAGAACCGTGGGCTCTTCTTCCTCAAACAGACTTGTGAGAAAACTGTGCTCCTGGAGATTCGTGCTTGTCAAGCTGCTGAGCAGTGTCTTTGCGGGGAGTTACGTCCTGTAGTATCCCAAGTCTTCTGCTTTTTCTCTCGTTTAGGAGAGCAGGTATAGGCACCATCCTTTTCGGTTGCCAAGGTTACGCCGAAGCATTAAATTCTCCCTTCTTTTCAGCGCAGGGCACGTGGGTAGGAGGAACCCTCTGCATTTCTGTTCTCTTCAATTGGATAAAAGTGAAACTTAGACACACTGTGTCTCGTTGGGCAAGGAGGCGTCTCGAGCCCCATCTCACCTTACAGAGCGCCTTCGCAGAGGAATTTAAAAAATGTTGGAATGTCTTGGGAGTGGAGACGTGGACAGGACACAGGGGAAGTGGAGAAGTGGGGTGTGTTTGTTTTTTTTTTTTGTACAATAAACCATCGGAGTGAATTTGAGTTCTTCCTTAATCTGTTTTTATTTTTCTCTGAAGGGGCAGGGGGGAGGAAACAACACATTTTTGGTTAAATTCCAGTTGGCCTGTTTTCTCTAGGGAGCACCGAGGGGCTGGTGGAGGAGTGCATTAGTGAATATTTTGGTACTCTCTAACTTGTGTCCTCAGTATTAGACGTTTAGAAAATTGTAACAGACTAAATGTCATGGAGTTTAAATTTTTTATTTGCTTACATTCTGAGAAAGCAAAAAGTAAACAAACAAAAAAACCCCACCAACAACTAAAACCTGAAAAACCCTTGAGTCCTTTTTTTCTTTTCCTCTTTTTTTTTTTTTCCTGTTTTCCTTCTGAGTGAAGAGATTTTATTTTTGTCCCCACTATTTCCCAGGGGACTGTACTGTAGAGGCTTTCATGTACGTGCTCCGTTTCTTGTCTGTGGCTTTTTGTCAAAATTCAAATAATGCACTGAGTTTTGGATGCAATAAAGTTGTACCTCTTAATTTTACTGGGGTTAAGATTTTGGTCAGGAGACTTATTATGGGTACATGTGCTGAGAGATTGGCTTTGTAAGTATTTCTGGTTACTCTTTTTAAAACCGTTCCAACAGTAGGTGAAGATTGTGTTTATTTAGACTCTTATTGTGTCATCGGGTGATATTTTCATGTTCAAACAACTGCACTGATAGTGCAAAATAAACAGTTTTCACAGATGCTGTATTTGTAGGGCTAGGTTCGTTCCAGCTAGGGTTAAAGGTGATATAAATTATTAATGCTTGCTTTAAGAGCAGGTTTTTGACAACATGAAAAATAAAAAGCTGGCCTCTATCTTGACAGAAGTTTGCATGAACGTGATTGTTAAATCTGCTCATGTTTTGTTCTTTTTGCTGTTACGTGCAAATGTTGTTTGTTTAGGGATATTTTTTTTCAGTTGTTTTTGGGGAAGTAATAGGCTTGAATTACTGTATCACCTGTGAATTGACTTACGAAGAAAGCCTGATCTGCTACAATTTATTTTGTGGAAAATCTACAGATGAGCTTTCATGGTTCCTGGACTTCTTGGAAAGTTGCGTTGTGGTCGTGTGTTGTCACGGCAGGCCCAGGCCAAAAGGATTTTAGTAGGTGCTCAACTTTGAAATCCTTCAGTGTACTAAAAGGGCCTGAGATACAACAAAAAAAAAAAATCTTTCATCTTCGAGGTCTGTTTCTAAAAAGTCTCCACGGTTTATTCCATCTTTACTGTGCTTCCACTACAAGTTTGAAGGGTACTGCTTTTCTGAAAAAATCTTTCCACAACATCTTTTAAGTGGGTGATTAATATCGTTACCAGGAAAAAGGGGGGGGAAAAGCCCCCAACAACAAGCCACAAAACAGCATGTAAAATTGGAATACAGGAGCACAGAGTTTTGAAGCTTCCTGAATTTTTAACTACTAGCAAATTGCCTTAAATTTAACTTGGATTAATTCCCTAGTGATCCTTGACATTAAACGGATGTTCTGGTTTGACATGGGTAGACAGAAAACTAATTAATTCCTCTGAATTTGAGGCATATTTAATTTTCTCCCCCAAAGACCTCTCATTTAAAAGGTACAACGCTGTGACAAATGTTGGATGTGGAACGATGTGTATAAAGTGTCAGACCCTTCAACAGAGGAGGATCAAGACATCTACAATAATAATTGCTGGTTTGGAAGATGTGAAACTTTATTGATTAGACTGAACACAGGAGTATCCACATCATTGCTTGCATACTTGAAAATGCTCTCGAGTGCCCACCTGTCAGTGGAAGGGAGGCTGCTCTTTGATGAGTGTCTTCCCCATTTATCTCTCTATCTTTTTATACTTAAAAGTCCTTTGGAACAAGGACAAGTTGTCTTTCCTTTGCATAGAGGAACTTACGTTGTCATTATTTTTACTTGTTATATTTTAGAATATCGTGTATTTTTGCTTTCTTGTCCAAAAGCTACCTACTCACCCTCTGCTCTTGTCCCCAGTGTCCTTGGAAATGGGAGCAAGTAAGATAGGAGGACTGTATGATCTTACTGTAATGACATGCTTTTGTTCATCCATGGCTTGCCTGGAGGGTGTCTTCTGTCAAGAGCTTGGTGGGTGGGAGGGACGCCAGTAAGGGACCTTGTATAGATTTTTGCGTGTGTGTGTTTATTAAAAATCCCATGGTAGGAAATAAAGTCAGAGAAAAGCTATTTCCTGAAGAGGATAGCAAGTGCTTCATCCACGAGAAGCAGCAGATTAGTCCATGTCTGAACCTCAACCTGGTCCAGTCTAAACCAAAGGTAGCAAGAGGCAAATATTGCACCCTGGGTTTCTGCCATAGGCAGCTTAAACAAAGGACAAGGTGTATCTAAAACAGACTTACCAACAGTGAGGAGGAGCCCAACCCACTCAACTAAGCTGAATAAATATATGAAATAGTAAAGAAATGAAATCTCAAGGAATTGGTGTAATTTCTAGGTGAAAAACATTCAAGAAGAAAAGCTGTTGTTGCATAAATTCACAAAAGCAGGTGAAGACATTGAAAAATACTCCTGACACCAATCTGTGAGGAAAATTATCCTTGCAGGAGGTTCCCTCCCCACCGCCCCAGTTCCAGGGAGCTGATGTCTTCGAATATGGATTTTCATATCTGTGAAGGAACAGCAAAAGGAAATGCCTTATCCGAAACCTTTGATCGCTTCGTAATTGTATGCCGTGAGGTTTGCTTGCATCTTCCTCTGAATCATGTGGATCTGGCAGCTGTTGAAGCCAGGACCGATGATGGACAACTCACTTGATCCTATGTGGCAATTCGTATTTCCTGAGGGGACTAAGCTGACTCTTCAGCTCCTAAAAGTAGAGGCAGTAGTGGTTTCTGGAATAAAGACAAAACTGAACTGTCATTCTGCCTTAATAGGTGGTTCTCTCAAACATGAAGACATTGGGAAGCAGTGGCAGCCACCTTCAGAGCCTGGGTTAGAGAGCTTCTGGTTCCATCACAACCTTTTCAGACCAAACACCTGAAAAATCTCTTCCCCCCCACCCCCGCTTTACTCACTGACTCTGATTCTTGGTTTGATATCTCTCTATCTATCTATCTATCTATCTATCTGTCTATCTGTCTATTTTATTTGAGATGGAGATGGCTTCTGTGTGAGAATTTGGTTTGAGGTCTCTGGGCAGATTTCAATGGTAAATAGGTAGTGTTGTTCAGATAGCATAGATCTACGCTATTATCAACCTCTTCCAGTTCAAATTAAAAAAAAAAATTAGCTTCTTCATGTGTTCTGTGCTTAATTCTGTAGAAGAGCTGTATGGATTTGAAAGAGATGAACACCAGTTCAGCCTGTTGTGTTGCAGGAAGATGGTCCTTCCTCTCTTGAGAGAAGCAGATGCTTCTCGATGATCAGGGACCAGGTGGTCTTGCAAATCAGCATTTCTGACACTGCTGAAGAGGCAGCTCCATTCTTGCAGAACTGGAGAAGCCCGTGCGGGCAATCTTGTGTAACTTGAACTTCTGAATCATCAGGTGGCCCTCTAGAAGAAAGTTCCTGTGTTACCTGTGTTCTGTGGGCCGAGAGGTTCTTTTCTAGCAACAGAGTTGGCTAAACCGTAGCTATTTTGCTCCTGGTAGCACAGACTCAGGGAAGGGGGCAGAAGTCTGATGGATCTGTATTCCACAGTCCAGGAAACCCACCTGCATGTGTCAGGGAACATTCTTAACCGTGGCTGTCCTAGGGCTGCCCACTGCTGCAAGCAGGTTCCGACGGATGGGACTGAATTTGTGTTTGAGCTCGATTCACGTTAGGAAGTTGCTTCAAACTGGCATCGTACTGGCAGTGCTTGCATTTCACCATGTGTGCTGCAAGGCCGTGAGACCTCAGAAGTACGGTGATTTTGGTTTTACCAGTAACCACCAGTAGCCTAAACCCAGGCTTCTGCTGTGTGCGCCTGCCCATAATTACATTCGGAATTTGGTCTCGTCAGCAGATACCAATTTTAGAGTCCCATGTTGACGGGTGGGCCCACATGTCAGTTTTACAGTCGGAACTTCTTTGGAACAAATTTAAGTTTTGGAGAGAAAGGAGTAGATATCCTTCATGTCATGTGGCAGCTTGGTGCTCTTAGTTGGCTGGACCATTAAACCGCTGTTCCAGGGTGTATAAATCTTGATAGCAAGTTCCAGAGAAGTGGTATAAGCTAAAGTGGCAGAAATTAATGCCAAGGAATTTGTACTTTGCAGGTGGGATAGAATTCAGTCGGAAAATATCAGTGCCACTGATTGCTGTCAACATATCCACATTTAAGACTCTTTTCTGTTTTGGGGTGTAAAAGGATAATTTGGAGTGTAACTTAGAAGATACAGGTCTCTGCCATGCTGTGGGCACTGACTACCCTTTTTTGGGGCATACTGCCAAATCTTGTGAAAGATGATCAAAAGTCCTGTGAATTCTTATCAGCTGGGTGGATGCTTTGTTGTTTTGGTCATAAGCATCTTTTCTAGACATGAGTGTTTAGGTGATTATTAGACTCTACCCAGTATCTTAGGATGGTTGTGGAGTAAACTTGGAGATGTAAAGCCAAGGAAGTAAGACATTTTATTGTAAAGTCAAACATATCATTCTTCTATGTAGTTAAGCTTCGAAACATCAATTTCACAGTTCTGATCTATTGCCAGTTTAGTTTGGGGGAGGACTTAAAATTTTGTGACGTGTGGTCTTGGATTTGTCTGTTGCTCTTGTGACTTGGAAACAGTATTTACAGCCCCTCAACGGCAATATAGCAGGGGAAATAGCTGCTTTCGGTTGGCTTTGGCTGTTTGAGGGTTCCAGCTATTCAGTGTGCTGCACATAATGCTTGTTCCCGTGAGGAAATTATGTTACAGAGTGCTCTTCAATAGTTGATCTCCATCAGCTTGGTTTCACGTGTAGTACCTCCGTCAAAACCAAACTTTACTGAACCCCAACAGTAAAAACCGAGAGCTGTTTTACCCAAGTAACTTAAAGACAAGTCGTCTTATGAGTCTGCAGTAATGTAAAGAAATGTTTCTCTGGAATGTTGTGGGCCACTAGAGGATTGAACTTCAAATCTAGTCCCTTTTAAAGTAAATTATTTGAAGTCTGGTAAAAATAAGCTGCATCATGCGATGAATGCGCAGTCTTTCTAGGCAGGAGTTGTATTTCGTGGCGTTCTTTCAAGACGAACCTGTTGCTTAATTGGGTTCAACGCGGGGTTTGTCTCAGGCTCTGACAAACACGCCTGTGAGCTTGTGTTGGATTTTGTAACACTGTCATTTCCTTCCCCGTGCAGGACTTGTGGAAGAGGAAACACAAAGATTTCCAAATGAATAACCGAAAGGAAGATATGGAGATTGCTTCCCACTACCGTCACCTGCTGCGTGAGCTGAACGAGCAGAGGCAGCACGGCATCCTCTGCGACGTGTGCATCATAGTGGAGGGGAAGATATTTAAGGCTCACAAAAACGTTCTGCTTGGGAGTAGTCGCTACTTCAAAACGCTGTACTGCCAGGTACAGAAAACCTCCGACCAGGCCACGGTCACCCACTTGGACATTGTGACTGCACAAGGCTTCAAAGCCATCATCGACTTCATGTATTCCGCACACCTGGCGCTGACCAGCAGGAACGTCATCGAGGTGATGTCGGCCGCCAGCTATCTGCAGATGACAGATATTGTCCAAGCCTGTCACAACTTCATCAAAGCAGCTCTCGACATAAGCATAAAGTCGGATGCCTCGGATGACCTCGTCGACTATGAACTCGGAGCCCCTTCCAGCAGCAGTACGGATGCTTTGATTTCGGCGGTCGTGGCTGGCAGGAGCATATCTCCATGGTTAGCTCGGCGAACGAGCCCAGCAAACTCTTCTGGAGATTCAGCTATTGCCAGCTGCCACGAAGGAGGGAGCAGTTACGGAAAAGAGGATCAAGAACCAAAAACAGACAGCCACGAAGACGTTTCATCCCAGTCTCTTTGGTCTAGTGACATGGGCTATGGGTCTTTACGTATCAAAGAGGAACAGGTTTCACCGTCGCATTATGGAGGGGGTGAGCTGCATTCTGCCAAGGATAGTGCAATACAGAACGCCTACTCGGAACAGGGAGTAGGGGATGGCTGGCAGCCCACTGGGCGCAGGAAGAACAGGAAAAATAAAGAAACTGTGCGGCATATTACGCAGCAAGTGGAGGATGACAGCAGGGCAGGTTCGCCCATGCCATCTTTTTTGCCTGCCTCGGGATGGCCATACAGCAGTCGAGACCCAAGTAAGTCATTCTTCTGTTTTTTTGTGGCTGAAATTAAAAATGTTGAGGTAGTTAGACCTGTTTACAGTGTGATATTATAAGTCTGTGAAATATATGAGCTTGCCAGGAACTGAAAAATGCAGAAATCTGCCAGCAACTGAAAAGACCTGAGCACTGTACGGTTCAGTCGGGAACCTCAGTGTCACAGCGTTGCAGGCTGGTTTTCCTGTGAAAGAAGTTGGTAGTTTTGTTTTGGCCTTGAACATAGAGCAGCCTAAATCACCCCCAAAACACTGTTATTAATAGTTAGAACTGATGAGAGAGGAGCTTATTTTAGCAGATGTGCGAACTGGTGTCAAGGCTGAAGAATTTTCCTTGCAGTGTATCGATGATGTAGTTACACCACACACCAGTGTAATTTAGTCTTAACGATACCATCTTCAGTACTTTCTGATATTCAGGTGTCACTTTCTCCTGTGTAAGGAAACCACCTTGGCTTGTTGCTGCTAATGGCAAGATAAGTGTTTGGTAACTCTTCAGAATCATGTGGGTTTTTGAGGGACTACTAAGGCTTAAAATGCGTTTTGATGTGTGACTACTTGAAGTCTGAGATGAGTGGCTGCTTCTAAAGTGCATAGCCAGGGAGAAAAATGTTTTCTCGACTTTTTTCGAATCTTCAGTAGTTATTTTTCTGTCTCAAAGTAACTATATTATTTGATTCATTAATCATGGGCAATTAACAGATCCAAGGATGCTACCAATACAGGAGGTTGAGTGTTTTTTTTCCTAAAGACTTGAAGGGAGTGTGGCGTTAAACTCCCTTGAGCTGACTTGAAGAACTTGGTCTGTGCTGTGAGTTAGCCTGTGTTTCACTGCATACCAGAGCCCAAGTCAGCCAGGAGAAGGGTGTGTGAGATTATATACCCTTGTGTTGCCAAATTCAGATGAAAAAAGCAATATAAATAGTACTGAACGTCTGCAGAGTCTTTGTGGGCTCCGAAAGGACGCGTAAGTTGCTCAAAGTTTAAATGTGGTGTTCCTTGAACGGGTAACTCTCTACAAATGTCTTTAGATTTATTATTCTTTACAGTTATCTGCCGCAGCAAGCTTGCATGTAATTATTCTAATTGGCTGATGATAAAATCTAAACAACGTCAGTTAGAAGAAAAATGTGAGATAACTGAAGATAAGAGTGATTTATGACGAATCCTGTTTTTACGATGCATGTATCTTAGGATTGTTTCGAATGCAGATTCCGCATGGATTGCCTGGTATGCTATTCACAGGCAAATATTCTTCACTTTCATGGCATCCCATCAAAACAGCTCCATCACTCGCACTGTTTGAGGTGTGTGGGGTTTGGACAGGTCTAGGAAGCAAATCCCACGTGTTGGAGTGACTGCAGAAACAACGGCAACCGTGATTGTCTTAGCAAACTGGTTATGGATTGAATGTCTTTTATTTTGCACTGTTTTCAGTAATTTAAAGAGATTGTATTGCTGGAAGCTGAATGGTGTTTGGATTATTTAACCCCTAATTGTTCAGGGATTAAGTAGAGGTGGCCTTTTTCATTCCAGCTGTTGGCAGATGAGAGGAACACAGCTTCTGGTGTTGGCTCAGCGCGGTGCTGAGGCAGCGCATCAGCAGCACAATCAAATTATTTGTTCCAAATCCTGTCTTCAGTGCGGTTTCCAATAAAAGACGCGTCCCTAATGATGGGAAGGGGGACGCGGAGTGGTGGTGGCTGGGGGAGTAGTTTCAATACTCCACTAGTAAAGCAAAAGGAGACACTGAATGGCACCACTGGTTTGTGCAAAATGAGAGGAATGCCAGAACGGAGCGGGCGCAGGGGCCGCGTGTGTTGGCAGTGGCCAGTCGGGCTGGGGGCTGCCCAGTGTGTGCAGAGCAAAAGGAACCGTGCTGAGCAGGGACGGTGTCTGGGGACAGAGCTGCTCATGGTTTCCCCATGTTGGCCATCTGGAGAGGTGAGCAGAGATGGAATTCTCCTTTCTGTGCTGCTGGAAAGGGACGTTTCTCTGCACCATGGGGCCTGAGCTCGTGGTGTGGGTGCATCTCTGCATGCTTAGGGGACATGCACAGGAGGAGCCCTGCGTGTTCTAGCTCGAATTTTCTTGTCTTTTGGGGGACTTCTTGGGTACGAATTGGGAGGATTTGAGATCTGCGTGTGTGCGGTTTCAGCTAACGCTTGGACATCCCACCAGCAGCAAGCCTCACGTGCTTGTGTCCATACTGTGGTTTGGGTGGAATCAGAGTTGGTCACTCGGGTGAAGTTGCTTCTCTCTTTCAATATGAAGTGAAAGCATCTCTGCTACCCCAAACCATCACTGTCTTCGTCCCTACAAGCAGTAGGGTCTTTTGGTCTCACATGAATATTTTCCATCTCCAGCAGGTGGAAGCAACCCTCTTGTGAACTGCTCCATCTCCCGGGTTGCCAAGCTGCAGGGTTCTGCGTAGGTTCGTTATTGGTACCCCAGGTTCTTGGCTTTCCTGCTAGAGTTCAGAAGTAGTCGAGGGGTGTTGCAAAGTTAGGTCCTATGCATGAAGGAAAAATGATTCTCTTGAGTGAAAACAGCTAATGGCAAGTGTCTGCACTGTGTAATGAGAATTTAGGATGTATTTCAACTTGTTCGATTTAGTAGTGTCAGGCTTCATTCTTTAAAACAGACTTTGTAGTCTAAGGCTCTTTTTTTCTTTAACTTCATTTATTTAAGGGTGTCACTATGTGTATTGTTCGTGGCTAAGATGAAAAGGTACTCCTTGGCTGAGGAAATGGGTGTTGAATGTGCTTTCATAAGTAGCTAAGAGGAAGAAAGTTACCTAGAACTCTCTGTTCTTTGAGGCTCATTCACTTTTCTGATCTATTCAGTTATTTTAAGACGCCGCTTGTTCAGTCTGAAAGCCCTTATTGTGGGATAATTTGGGTACCATTTGCAAATGCTTCTATACTGGAGGACTAACACAGACTTTCTGGCAATGCAAAAGCTGAGTTGGGAGAGAGACTCCGTCTTAAAAGTTCAGTGTTGGTGTCTTCCTCCTGAAATTGTTTGTTGCATTTCAGCAAGATGCAGGCAGCGTTTGGGAGGGTGGATCTTGCAAGTAACCATTGCATCACCCTTTTAATTCAGTGGTTATTTGGGGCAGTACACTTCGGAGATTAAAAATACCCTCCTGCTTCTCTGATATGCAGGATTACTTATGTTGTGTTGCAAAGAAACTCGTCATTTTCACTGAAACTTTGATTTTGAAACAGCTGACAGCTTGTTTATGCTTTGTAGTGGTGCTTTTTTCAGTGGGAAGCAGATGTTCTTATCAACATAGGCAGGGTGCATTAAAGTGTCTCAGATACATAAATAGAATGTGCTTAAATATGATGCAATAAGGCCTCAAAAAGACACAGTTGTTTTTTTTTTTAATTGAAAGGATAAGAGAATTCTTTCCAAATCAGTTGATTCATTTCCAGATGTTGGTGGGGTGCGGAGAAGGGATTTGGAGAAGTACTGAGACGACTCAATATGAGTTAGCTGCAGGAAGTCTCGTTTATTGCGCAGTTCTTATTGCTTATATAGACAGTATTTGCCAATAATCCTGAGACCACACCTTTTCTACACCATTATTGGATGATACATATGCTTGTCATATTTAACAGCTTATTTCAAACAGGTACCCGCCTAGCGAAGCTCTGCTCTAAGCAAACACTACTCCCTTATCATGCTGCATAGTTTTCTTATCCTTAACTTCAAGGGCATTCTGCCCCTGAGGCCTAACTTTAGAGCTCCAGTCCTTATTTACACAGGGTTTTTCTTCGTGCAGTCTCTTCAAGGATCTGTTTGTAGTGGTGCTTTTTTCAGTGGGAAGCAGATGTTCTTATCAACATAGGCAGGGTGCATTAAAGTGTCTCAGATACATAAATAGAATGTGCTTAAATATGATGCAATAAGGCCTCAAAAAGACACAGTTGTTTTTTTTTTTAATTGAAAGGATAAGAGAATTCTTTCCAAATCAGTTGATTCATTTCCAGATGTTGGTGGGGTGCTGCTGAGAGGCTTTGAGTGTGATCACACTATGGATTAAAATAAAAAGGAGAGTCTGGAGTAATCTTATTAATGGTAATCTAACATCATGGAAACAGCCACTGAAGCAAGAGGTTCTTGATGTCTGCCGTGAAGTGTATATCCTCTTCCTTCAAGAAAGAATGATCAAATGTGATTTGCAAAAGAGCCCAAACTAAGTCAAGATGATAGATTGCGAATGTGCTTAAGCTCTCAGTTTCTACAGGGCGGTGTCAGTCAAGCACAAAGCTTGAAGAGGACCATCTCTTCATGGGAGTTTCAATTTATTAATTTGAATTCTCTGTTTAGCATAAAACATATTAGTTTTTTTCTTTCTCGCCCTGTTTGGGTTGTTCAGGATGTCACTCTGCCGTTCCCTCTGTGAAATGTTCATATATATGTTTTGCTCACCAAGCCACATTAACTTGGAACAGCAGTTCTCCAAAGTAAACTGAAGGATGGGCTTTCATAAATAATAACTTTCTTCATAACTGAGCCAAGAAGAATTTCCTCCACAGACCTGCCAAAATAACAGGTCTGCCTTTTATTTCAGCCTTTTCCTGTGAGCTTCAGAGGTTTTCTGAAGAAACATATTGCTATTTGTTAGTCTTGATATCAAAGATACTTAGGAAGTAATCGTATGCCTTGAGCATCTTCATTTTCCTCAGCCTGCTGTTCCTGTGACATTGCTGGATAAACTTTTTACAGGATTACATGTCCTGAGTGCCTGGACTACAAGGATTGGGTGGTATTTAAAATGTTCTTGCTGAGGATGATCACCAAGAGCTGTTTAGCAAAATGTTGCTGGTTTTGCCTCTTCATATAATGGAAAACTCCGTCACTTGGAGGGTGTCTTTTGAAGAATTTATTGGTGGTTTTATTAGTGCGTTAGCTCAAGCATAGTAGTTATGATTCAGGAATTTATTTCTAAGGAAATACTCCCACACATCT